GGGGGGTTCCGGGGTTCCAGCCGAGCGTTCCGTTTTCATGCGCGCGCGGTTACCGTAGGTCAGAATTCGACAATAGTTTGAAAACATAAAATCCACGCGCGGCATTTCCGCCTCCGTCAGGACCTCCCCGCTCCTGCAGAAGAGGTTGGCCGCGTCCTCAAGCGCAGGGCTACCGTCGGAGGCGAGATCGAGCATCAAGTTGAGCAGCCGTTGGTAGACGGCGAACGCACGCGGCGGACATGGTTGAAATCCGTTGACGTGAACATGACTATGCGCCGGAGCTACGACACGCCCAGACTGAAAAATGCCGTGGCACGCGGCACGAAACGCATCCAGAGAGCGCGCGGTGGCTCACAGGCGACGGCCCCTTCAGGCACGCACGTGCTCGCCGAGGACGACTGCGACAAGGGCGAATGCCATATCGATAAAGCTGCGCAGGGAAGCGAAGCTCCCAAAAAATGGGAGCGCAGACGTCTGGGAGGAATCATTGCCGCCGTGAGCGGTTGCCGGCTCTTTTTGGATTGGGAAGAACACCAGTTTGGAGAAGGGGCGAGCCAAGTGTACGTCGTTTTGGCGGGCGTTGTGCAATTCATCCAAGAGTGCCGGGATGCAGGGCTCGGTGGTCGGGTTCCTGATGTGGTATTTTGTTGACAACGCTTGCGCCGTGGCGAAGTACGCCACCAATCCGAAGCGGCGTGACCGCACGGCGATTTCTCTGCTATTAAGCCTCTTACACTATATGCTTGACAGTTGGCACGTGCGCAACCACGCTCGTTGCTTGGAGGGCCCAGAGGCTGCGGGGAAATTTGACCCAGGCACGACGAAAACAAGCATCTCACTACCCACATCGACACTGAGGCTTGCGAGCAGTACTTTCCGTTTCTTCATCGGATCACGTACGTGGGAATGAATATGAACCCGGGGCATTTTGTCGTTTACTATTATACATTTGCGCAGCCGCGCACGTCCGCCATTGCCCAGAGCGCCGCGCAGCAAAGGAAATACGAACGCAATTGCAGACTTGATTTAGGGCAATCAAATCTGAACATATTTGTTTCGGAAAGCACCAGAATGCGCCCAACGGTTGCGCGGCAGCGCCGACGCAGCTGGAAAATTTGCTGTTCGATTTTGAGAACACCAAGGTTGTGTCAGCAAGGGCCAAGCGCTCCTGAGAACCAGGCCCGCTCCTGACAGCAACAGCCCTGCTTGATTAGCCCGGTTCCGTTTGGGTCGCCCTGCGCGTTCAGCCTCGACCGGCGCAGTGGGTTTCAGCAGGGCCTTCGCGTTTCACTGTACTTGACAGTTGACTTGTTCGCTCCGTGTGTTTCTGCTGCGCCTGCGCCTCTCTGCGCGGTGTTTCTTTGTTCTCCTCATTCTTCTCCCTCCCGCGACCTGTTCCTCCTCCTCCTCCTCCTCCTCCTCCTCCTCCTCCTCCTCCTTGTTATCTTCCTCATAATCCTCCTCATCCTCTTCCCTCCCACCTTCTGATTATTCTGTCTCCAAGACAGCGCCCAATCTTCAACAGACTCCGTCTCCAAGAAAGCGCCCGCTACTCAACAGCCTCCGTCTCCGAGACATCACCCAATATTCAACGGACTCCGTGTCCAAGGGATCACCCAGTACTCAAAAGACTCCGTCTCCAAGACAGAACCCTGCACTCAACAGACTCCGTGTCCAAGAAGGCGCCCACTACTCCACGAACCCCGCTGCCAAAGAGCACCCACTACTCAACATACTTTGTCTACGAGAAAGCACCCTCAGGTCACGGATTCTGGTTCCGGTTCCGCTTCTGGTTCCGGTTTCCTTTTTCCTCGGGGTCCCAACGAAAACCTTCCAAATCACGGTTCTGGTTTTGGTTCCGGTTCCGGTTCTGGTTCCGGTTTCCTTCTTCTTCGGGGTCCCAAAGAAGCCTTTCCAGGTCATGGTTCTGGTTTCAGCTCCGGTTCCGAATCCGGCGTCGGTTTCCTTGTTCTTCGGGGTTTAAGAAGACCCCCCCAGGCACGGTTTTGGTTCCTGTTCAGGTTCCGGTTTCCTTCTTCTTCGTGGTCCAAACGAAGACTTTCCAGGTCACGGTTCTGGTTCCGATTCCAGTTCCGGCCTTTGCTTCCAAAACAAAAACCAGTAAACAACGAGTCAACTGACCCCGTCTCTCAAACATCACTCAGTACTTAACAGCCTCCGTCTCTAAGGCAGCACCCAGTATTCAACAAACTCCGTGTCCAAGGGAGCACACAGCACTCAACAGACCCCGTCTGCAAGACAGCACCGTGTACTCAACAGACTCCGTGTCCAAGAAGGAACCCAGTACTCAACAGGCCCCGCTGCCAGAGAGCACCCAGTAAAGGTCGATTAAAAAACCCGACCCGCCCGCCCGCCCCCCGCCCACCCGCACGCCCGACCGCCCGCCTTTGTCTCCAAGAGAGCGCCCACTACTCAACAGACTCGGTCTCCAAGAGAGCAGCCACTATTCAATTGCCTCCGTCTCCAAGACAGCGCCCAGTATTCAACAGACTCCGTGTCCAAGGTAGCACCCACTAGTCAACAGACTCCGTCTCCAAGACAGCACCTTGTACTCAACAACTTCCGTGTCCAAGAAGGCACCCAGTACTCAACAGACCCCGCTGCCAGAGAGCACGCACGAGAGGCCCTTTTATATATATACACACACTATAGAACCATCGCGCGCGCTTCGCGCGCGCTCATGTTCATTTTTGGGGGAAACGACTGCAGCGGACCACGCGGGTCCAGTCGGTCGGTCAAGGCCAGGTTCGAGCGCAGCTCTTCAATATCAACTCAACACATGCAACAACAAGCGACAAGACAACAAGCAACAACAGGTTCTAGCCCAGGCCGGGGGGGCGCTGGAAGATCTTGGACAGCGCTATCAAACACAGGCGCGTGACATAGTCGTGCCTCCTGAGGGCCTCTTGGGAACCTCTTGGGTCTTCGTGGGAACATCTGAAAGGCTTCTGGGAGTTTTCCGTGCTTCCTCCATTGGCTGTTGGAGGCACCTCTTGGGTGCTTCTTGGGGGGGCGTCTTGGGGCATCTTGGGGTCCCTTGGGGGTATCGTCGGGGTTCTCCGGGCAGTCGGAAGGTGATGTTCTGCAATCTGAAGCCGTCATTGGCCGTCTTGGCTGCGTGGAGGCCAGAATTGAGGCCACCTGGGGCCGCACTGATGCAATCCCGAAGCCTCCCGGGTGCCTCCCGGGAGGCTTTTGGGGGCCTCGTCGGCCCGCTCGGGGACTCTTGGGGTCCCCTGCGGGCCTCGTAGGGCGAAAGGCTCTGCTGTTGGGTTCGCGTTCCCCTTCTTTGGGCCTCTCCTGGGCCCGTCTTCGGGCCCTCTCGGGCCGTCTTGGGCGCCTCAGGCACCGTCTTGGGGCCCTCTTGGAGGCGGCTATCTTGGAGCGATCTTGGGGGCCTCTTGGGCCGTTTTTGAGCGTCGGGATGCCGAAAGGCAGATAATTCTAAAATCTATCAAACACCGATGGAAAAACACAATGAGTTGTGCCTCTACAGGCCTTCCTGGGAGGCCTCTTGGAACCCCTTCGGCCCTCTGGGGAGCTTCTTGAGGGCCTCTTGGGTCCTACTGGGGGCCTCTTGGGGCTTCCTGAAAGCCTCTCGGGGTGGAAGGCTCGGATTGTCGGTTCGTCTTACCCCTCTTGGGCCCCTCTTGGGGCAGTCTTGGTGTACCCCTCTTGGCTCCCTCTTGGGGCCGTCCGACATGGGCGCCTCTGGCGCCGTCTTGGGGCCCTCTTGGGCTGTCTTGTGGCCGTCTTCGAGGCCTCTGGGGCTGTCTTGGAATGGACATTGGGGCCTCTTGGGCCGTGTGGAGCGTCGGGAATCTGAAAAGGCGATAACCCGAAAATCCTTCAAAACCCAACGGCGAAATTAACTATTTGTGCCTCCTGGGGCTCCGTGGGAGGCATTTTGGAAGCCTCTTGGGGTGTCTTGGAGGCCTCTTAGGCAGTCAGGAGCTAATTCTGGAGTGATCTCGGGCCGTTATTGGTCGTTTTCGCGGTCTGGAAGCGCCATTTCTAGCGATCTGGGGTCGTCCCCGGACGATTTTAAAGAGCCCTCGGCGCCGCGGCAAGGCCGCCGAGGCCCCCAGTCCCAGGGCCCCGACCCGAGCCCCGCCCCATGCCCTCGGCAGGGCGTCCCTGGGCCGTCTCGGCGCCCTCCTGGGGGGCAGTTGAAGCGATATTTGGGTGTCTGGGACGGTCTTGGATCGTCGGGGCGCTGAACAGGCAGAATTGCTGAAATCCATCATAAACCTCATGAACGTCACTTCTTGGGGCCCTTGGAGGAATGCTCTTGGAGACCACTTGGGCCGAGTTGGAAGCCTTTTGGGCCATCTGGAGGCGTGTTCGAGCGATCTGCTTGCGTATCGAGCCCTCTTGGAGGCCTCTTGCGGCCCTTTTCGTGTGTGTTGAGCTGGCTTGGGCCGTCTGGGGGCGGCCTTAGGCCGTCTCGGCACCCTCGTGGGAGCCTGTTAGGACGATATGTGGGTATCCCTGACCGTCTTCGGGCGTCGGGAAGCGGAACAGGCAGAATCGCTAAAATGTGCCAGAAACCGTTGGAAAAGCAATGATTCTGGCGTCTTGGTGCCCTTTTTGGGGAATGCTCTTGGGGACCCCTTGGGGTGTTGGGAACTTTGGGCCATCTAGAGGCCACCTTTGGCTTGATAGAACGATATTTCCGCGACTATAATTATTTTGGCAGCCTCTTGGGGCCGTTTTCATACGCTTTGGCGCTGTATTGGGCCGTCTGAGGGCGGCCCCGGGCCGTCCCAACGCCCTCGTGAGGGCATGTTTGCGCGATATTTAAACGTCCGGGACCATCCTGGAGCGTCCGGACGCTGAACAGGCAGAGTAATTGGAATCCATCAAAAACTTCAGGACAATAAATGATGTGGGCTTCGGCCCTTGGAAGAGTGCTCTCGGAAACTCCTTGGGCCGTGTTGGAAGCCTTCTAGGCCATCTGGAGGCCATCTTGTCGAGTTCGAGCTAGATGTCTGCGTTTCGAGCCCTCTTTTTGGGGGGGGATTCAGCACGCCTGTAGCTTAAGACCAGCAGCTGCGAGGGCACCCGCCTGATTGGATGGCAGCATGCTTCGGCACGATCAGCCACGTGAGACGACGTCGCACTTGTCGCGAGATACGTCTCGACGAAATCAACATATTCACAGGTATCGCGGTGTGCAGGCAAATGTGCTTTGACACGCTGTGCAAAGCCTACACGTGCGCAACAAATGCCAAATAAATATGTTGGCAAATTACCCATGCGTCCAAGGATGGAAAGAAAGACGCCCAACCAGGGAAAGATGACGCACTGGTGCGGGAATTGAGTAAACACAAACTAACAAACAAGTCGGGATAAACTAAAGAAGAGCATGGGACGACTCGCAGGCCCATGATTCTGAGTTGGTACCTCGGTTACAAACTGCGAAGGCACCTAATTTCCAGAATGGCTAGCAACATGCTTCGGCACGATCAGCCAAGTGAGACGACGTCGCATTTGTCGCGAGATGTCCTCTCACGGGAATAATCAATTGCAAATCGGTGTGCAAGCACATGTTCCTGCGGTTTCGAGCCCTCTTGGGGGCCTCTTGCGGCCCTTTTCATCTGTGTCGGCGCTGCCTTGGGCCGTCTGGGGGCGCCCCTGGGCCGTCTCAGCGCCCTCGTGGGGGGCAGTTGAAGCGATATTTGGGTGTCTGGGACCGTCTTGGATCGTCGGGGCGCTGACCAGGCAGAATTGTTGAAATCCATCATAAACCTCATGAGCGTCAATGATATTGGCTTCTTGGGGCCCTTGGGGGAATGCTCTTGGAGACCACTTGGGCCGAGTTGGAAGCCTGTTGGGCCATCTGGAGGCCATCTTGGGCGTGTTCGAACGATCTGCCCGCGTTTCGAGCCCTCTTTGAGGCCTCTTGCGGCCCTTTTCGTGCGTGTTCGGGCTGTCTTGGGCCGTCAGGGGGCGGCCCTAGGCCGTCCCGGCGCCCTCGTGGGAGCCTGTTGGGATGATTTGTGGGTATCCCTGACCGCCTTGGGGCGTCGGGAAGCGGAACAAGCAGAATCGCTAAAATGCGCCAGAAACATTAAGACCAAAATTAGCCTGGCGAAGGACCCAACCATATGCAGTTGAGAGAACCGCAATTGTGAATATCTTCCTCGGTGGCGCTCCCTATGGGGCCACGAGCCGTATGAGGGGTGTGCCGAAATGCGTGGCAGTGTACACAACACGAACGAAGACGATAGGTCCGAATATGAAAGCTTGAGCGCGTGCGAGTCGGATCGCGAGCGAGTCTGATTATGAATGAATCTGCGCGCGATTGATTCTATTCGCATGAATGCGTGCATGGATACGCCCAGTGTAAATGTATGTATACGACTGTGAACAGTTTGGGTCTGCGTGACTCTCGGTACTCGTGACTCTGAGCGTCGCCTCTGCAGGGGGCTTCCCTGGGAACCCCGACGGCAGCGCCCGCGCGCCGCGACGCCCATGTCGGCACGCCACACACCTGGTGTGCGGGACGCATGCGGACGGCAGCACTGGGGCCTTCGGTGGAGCTCCCTGTGGGGCCACGAAACGTGTGAGGGGTGTGCCGAAATGGGTGTGCGGGACGCATGCGGACGGCAGCACTGGGGCCTTCGGTGGAGCTCCCTATGGGGCCACGAAACGTGTGAGGGGTGTGCCGAAATGGGTGTGCGGGACGCATGCGGACGGCAGCACTGGGGCCTTCGGTGGAGCTCCCTATGGGGCCACGAAACGTGTGAGGGGTGTGCCGAAATGGGTGTGCGGGACGCATGCGGACGGCAGCCATGGGGCCTTCGGTGGAGCTCCCTATGGGGCCACGAAACGTGTGAGGGTGTGCCGAAATGGACGCAAAGCTCCCTGTGGTGTGCGGTGACGCATGCGGACGGCAGCACTGGGGCCTTCGGTGGAGCTCCCTGTGGGGCCACGAAACGTGTGAGGGGTGTGCCGAAATGGGTGTGCGGGACGCATGCGGACGGCAGCCATGGGGCCTTCGGTGGAGCTCCCTATGGGGCCACGAAACGTGTGAGGGGTGTGCCGAAATGGGTGTGCGGGACGCATGCGGACGGCAGCACTGGGGCCTTCGGTGGAGCTCCCTGTGGGGCCACGAAACGTGTGAGGGGTGTGCCGAAATGGGTGTGCGGGACGCATGCGGACGGCAGCCATGGGGCCTTCGGTGGAGCTCCCTGTGGGGCCACGAAACGTGTGAGGGGTGTGCCGAAATGGGTGTGCGGGACGCATGCGGACGGCAGCCATGGGGCCTTCGGTGGAGCTCCCTGTGGGGCCACGAAACGTGTGAGGGGTGTGCCGAAATGGGTGTGCGGGACGCATGCGGAGCACTGGGGCCTTCGGTGGAGCTCCTATGGGGCCACGAAACGTGTGAGGGTTTGCCGAATTCTGGTATGCGGACGGCTGGGGCCCCTTGGGGCGGTGGAGCTCCCTGTGGGCCACGAAACGTGTGAGGGGTGTGCCGAAATGGGTGTGCGGGACGCATGCGGACGGCAGCCAGGGGGCCTTCGGTGGAGCTCCCTATGGGGCCACGAAACGTGTGAGGGGTGTGCCGAAATGGGTGTGCGGGACGCATGCGGACGGCAGCACTGGGGCCTTCGGTGGAGCTCCCTGTGGGGCCACGAAACGTGTGAGGGGTGTGCCGAAATGGGTGTGCGGGACGCATGCGGACGGCAGCCATGGGGCCTTCGGTGGAGCTCCCTATGGGGCCACGAAACGTGTGAGGGGTGTGCCGAAATGGGTGTGCGGGACGCATGCGGACGGCAGCATGGGGCCTTCGGTGGAGCTCCCTGTGGGGCCACGAAACGTGTGAGGGGTGTGCCGAAATGGGTGTGCGGGACGCATGCGGACGGCAGCACTGGGGCCTTCGGTGGAGCTCCCTGTGGGGCCACGAAACGTGTGAGGGGTGTGCCGAAATGGGTGTGCGGGACGCATGCGGACGGCAGCCATGGGGCCTTCGGTGGAGCTCCCTATGGGGCCACGAAACGTGTGAGGGGTGTGCCGAAATGGGTGTGCGGGACGCATGCGGACGGCAGCACTGGGGCCTTCGGTGGAGCTCCCTGTGGGGCCACGAAACGTGTGAGGGGTGTGCCGAAATGGGTGTGCGGACGCATGCGGACGGCAGGGGGCCTTCGGTGGAGCTCCCTATGGGGCGGTGCCGAAATCGCATGTGGGCCTTCGGTGGAGCTCCCTGTGGGGCCACGAAACGTGTGAGGGGTGTGCCGAAGTGGTGATGACGATGACGAATGACGATGACAATGACGATGACGATGACGATGATGATGATGATGCTGGGCCATCTGGAGGGATGATGATGATGATGATGATGATGATGATGATGATGATGATGATGATGATGATGATGATGATGATGATGATGATGATGATGATGATGATGATGATGATGATGATGATGATGGGAGGAGGGAGGAGGGGGAGGAGGAGGAGGAGAGAGGTGGGACGCGGGGCGCTGTCTCTTCAAAACGAGGACCCAACACCACAGGATGGTTGGGAAAAACAGCGATTCTGGTTTCTTGGTGCCCTTTTTGGGGAATGCTCTTGGGGACCCCTTGGGTCGTGTTGGAAGCCTGCTGGGCCATCTGGAGGCAATCTTGTGCGCGTTCGAGCTAGATGTCTGCGTGTCGAGCCCTCTTGGAGGCCTCTTGCGGCCATTTTCATTTGTGTGGGGCTGTCTTGGGCCGTCTGGGGGTTTGGACGATATTTGGGTATCCCTGACAGTCTTGGGGCTTCGGGAAGCAGAACAGGCAGAATCGCTGAAATGCACCAGAAACCTTTGGACGATCAGTGGTTTTGGCTTCTTGGGGCCCTTTTGGGAGTGTCTCGTGCCGTCTTGGGGCGATTTTGGGAGCCTCTCCGACCGCCGTGGGCGCTGTGAAAGTCCAAGGTGCGGATGCCCGAAAAATGCACGCTTTCCCAAGGAAGCGGGGCCATTTTTGCGTTTTGAAGCCCTCGTGGGATCTTGGAAGTTTTGTGGAGCCGTCGTGCGACCATCTTCGGCGTCTTGGAGCGATCGGGGTCTCTGGGCCTCTTGAACCGTTTGGGGGCTTCCTGGGACCCTCGGATGCCGTGTCGGGGCGGTCTTGGGCCGTGTCGGAGCGCCTCCAGAGGCCCTGGTCCTGCCATGCGCGCTCGAGGCGCGGGCCCCAGGCGCCCGGGCCTCGTGCGAGGGGATATGTAGATCTACGCGTGTGTGTATATACCATCGCGCGCGCTTCGCGCGCTTCGGTTCTAGTTGAGGTCACGGCCAAGTCCTGTCAAAAGTCGTCTGAATACTGTCTGTTTACGTATTGTCATTTTGCTCATCTTCGCTTGTATGTCGGTCCCCGTCTCTCCTCCTGGCTTTCCGTTTTGGACTTCGTCCTGGTCATCCGTGTATTCGCGTTTCTCATCATCCTCTTCGGCACGTCGGCCACTGGCGAAAATCGACGCAACACAAAACAATAACAATTGCGACCCGGGGCGTTTTTTCATAGCGGGTGGCCTCGGGAGGGAGGAAGAGGACGAGCAGGAGGAGAGCCAAGAGCCGGCAGCGAAGGAGAGACGACCGAGCGAGCGAGCGGGCGAAGGGGCAGGGGAGGAGAAGCGGCGACGGGAGGAAGGGCGGGGCGGAAACGCAGGGGCGAAGGTCCGATGGAGGAGAGGGGGAAGGAGGGAAGAGGGGAGAGAGGAGAGGAGGACGAGGGGAGGGAGGACGAGAGAGGAAGGAAGGAGGGGGAGGAAAAAGGGAACGATCGTGGGCGTCTTGGTGTGGTCTTAGGCGTCTCGAGGCACGCTTGGACCGACATGGGCGCGTCTTGGGGCAATGTTTGGAGCCTCTTGGGCTGTCTTGGTTGCTACTGGGCCGTCGTTGGGGCCTCTTGGGCCGTCTTGGGGCTCCCTTGGGAGCCTCTTGGACCAGCTTGGGACGGTCTTGGGGGCCTCTTGGGCCGTCTTGGAGCGTCGGGACGACGAAAAAATGAAGAAGCCAAAAACCTTTAAAAGCATGAAGGGAAGCAATGATGTTTGCTGTTTGGGTCCCTCTTGGGAATGCTATTGGGGTTGTCTTGGGACGTCTTGGACGCAACTTGGGCCATCCGGGAACCATCTTGGGCGTCTCGGAGCGGTCTTAGGCGCGTCGAAGCACGCCTTGACCGTCTTCGACGCCTCTTGGGCCGTGTTTGCAAGCTCCTGGGCGGTCTCAGGCGCCTATTGGGTTGTTTTTAGGCCCTCTTGGGCCGTCTTGGAGCGCTCTTGGGGGACTCTTGGGCGATCTTGGGCCGGTCTTGGGGACTTCGTGGGCTGTCTTGGAGGGTCGGGACGACGAAAAAACAAGAAAACCAAAAACCTGCAAAAACAACAACGGATTTCAATGATTTCGGTCTCTTGCAGCCCTCTTGGGAATGCTCTTGGGGCTCTCTTGGGACGTTTTGGAAGCCTCTTGGGCCATCTGGGAGCTATCTTGGGCGTCTTGGAACGGTCTTAGGCGCGTCGAGGCACGCTTTTACCGTCTTCGACGCCTCGTGGGCCGTGTTTGCAAGCTCTTGGGCGGTCTTAGGCGCCTGTTCGGTTGTTTTCAAGCCCTCCTGGGCAGTCTTGGAGCGCTCTTG